GGATACAGATATACACGAAAGAAGGAGGGGGGATCCTCGAAGTAAACGCGGAGCCGTGTTTCTTTTTATTGGAATACAAGTTTGCCGCGACGAGGCCGTCCGAAACAAAGTAGCGCATTAGCGTTCCTTACGCATGTATTGTTAACGAGCCATGCAAATCGATCCATTCGTTAGCTGAAGTATCAGTCGGTAGCTCTCGTCTCGTATTTCCATCGTCATGTTTCCGTTCCCTTCAAGCGGCGCGATTTGTCTAGTTGCGTATGCAAACATCGCGCGCTGGGTGAAGACGATTTGTTTAATGATGCTCTAGTCAGCGGTGTCGTATCATCGTGAATGACTGCGCAATCTTCTTGGCAATACTTAATTGCGTCATTTGAACAGCATCGATCATTTTCGCGAATGTCGGGAAAATATTGTCATATATTAACCAAGAAATCTTTCGGATCGAGACACTGAAATAATATAAGAACTTTGTTAGCAGAAATAATCAGAAGAATTGAATTATAATTAATTTTTAAACATCAATGAGATGAATATTATTAATTCATAATTCGATAATAATCGTGGGAAATGAAACTGTGTCAACTCCCTTCTTTTTTTTCGATTAAACATAAGATTCAACAGGTCGCTACTATTTTTTGTCTGCAACCAGCAGCTGTAATGTCATATTAATGTCATATTAATTTCATCACCTTTTTATTGTATTAAATTATAAAAATGTATCTATATTTTTTGCAGAATTGGTTAGATATATCGATTATATTTACAGGATATATAAAACATTTATAGATGCATCTCCGTTCAGAAACTGCACGATTTTACGATAAAACTAGAAGGTACACGCCCCGTTTCAGTGTTACGGGACATTTCGCAGAGTCTTAGCGTATCGAGAATCGGTGCGTACGTAAGATACGAGGGGTCGTATAACTCCAATATCGCGCCTCTTCCCGCTCGGGATACGATCTGCGAACGCGATGAGGACGACGCAAGGACACGCGATTCCCGCGATATATATCGAGCGAAAGCGTGGGCATCTCGGGCCGACCGATTCGCCTCGCTCGTCACTCTGGTCACGCATGCTATGGGGACTTGATGCCCCCATGGAAGCGTCCTCCATGTCGCGAAAACGATCGCGTGCCAGTTCGTGAATTCGGAGCATCCAGTCGCAGAAGAGAGAAAGAGATCTCGTTTAGTCATATGGCACGAGTCTCGCCACGACGCATTCATTATCGTCGCCCGAGTGTATTATATACGCGCCATCGGTGACAATACGCTATGGCAAAACGTATGGCCGGAATTCTCATTGCTAAACGTGTCGCATCTCGGTGTGCTAATTTTGCGTACGACGATGTCTCGGCTAATATTATGCGTCCCCATAGAGGATGCGCAGAGATATTAATCTTGTGCGATCTCTTGAGAGATGAATTCGATAAGGTAGTTTAGGATATGTAAGGATACTGTCTTAAATATTTGATATATGTATGTACATCTCTCAGTATATATATATTTCAAAAATTTAAGACACTATATGTCCTAAACTACTTTATCGAATTCATTTCGACTCAAGAGATTGCATTAAAAATTATAATTCATATTATTTATAATTGTTATAATTATTAATAATTATAAATTTATATCATTTATAATATATTATATATATATATTAAAATTATTAATTATATTATTTATAATTATTAAAAATAATAATTTAATAAGTTTTAAATTAAAATAAATTAAAATTAAAATCAAAATATATTCATAATTAAATAATAGTTTTAAAAATATTTTAAATGTTTCTTTAAAAGTATTATAAATAGGAGTATTATAAATAGTATTATAAATAGATATATAAATAGGAGAAGTTTCCTTCTTATGTAAAGTTAGCATTAATATAAAAAAAGAACATTGCGGAATTTTATATTCTATATGCAGTTCGATTAAATAATTTTCAAATCTGTTTTCAATTTACATTTACACATAAAGATTAGACGCCGATTTGTATTGCGATTAGCGAACAATGAAAGATTTTCGTGTTTATCATACAATACTAATTAACCCCTGACTGCGCCATAAATTGTTGACTTAACCGCGTAATTTCTTATTACCGGGTCCATTAGATCGAGGCGAACGCAGTTTTACGAAAGCTCGTGTAGGATGCCAACGGTATAATTATTCGACGATGTAATGGATATTGCAGGCCCAGTATCTTGAAACTTTACAAGATTGTGATATATTACTCTACGGATTGAGATATTATTCTGTATTCATATCTCGCATTTAGCGCTAAACCGTGGGTGTTGCCATCCTGGCTTTTATGAAGATCACGTTCAATGTTATCGTAGAATCGTACAATCCCACTTAACGCTATATGTTATACAATATATTATACAGCACAAGGTATTAAAATATTGCTCAAGAGAAGCAATCCTCGTAGAATTCAATATGCAACAAATCTTTCTAATATTAATTCCAACGTTATTCAAGCGAGTATAAAATTATGTTATAGATGATAATTTTCTCCGTTGCTTGAGCAAGAAAATTAATTGACCGAAGGCAAGCAATTTTAGATTTTTATACGTGAGAGGAATCGCATTTAGAGAATATATTATTCGAGATGCACATCTTTCTTAATTTTAAACAACACATAAAGTCACATTTAAAGTCCGGCAAATTTCTTTTGGAGCAGCCTGTATTTCCGTTTCTCTTTATCTTAAAAGGCGTAGGCAAATCTCTAGGACTTCTATCATCAAGGATCGTTTCTGCGAACGTTCGAAACTCGAGATCGTGTCTAGTCGATGTGTTGCAAAAGACAAGAAGAATCTTGCTGAATCCACACCCAGTTTGCGAAAGTGAATAACATCGCGACACACGAATATTCCGCGAAAATTATGATGTACCAAAAGTGACGACACCATACGTCACGTTCCAGCCAATAGTCACGCCGCGTCGCGTCGAAACTATCATCGTAAAATAAGAGAGGACGAGACGCGCGCGTTGTCGTCCACCTACGAAGTCGTTGTCCAAGTCGAGCCATTAACTTTTTTCATGGGCTCGTTAGGCCGGATTCTCACCGTTTCGTGGGTGATACTTGGAGGAGAGGAGCCGTTGTAACGCTCGACATTATCGATCGCCATCAATTACAAACCATCCGAGATCGCCCGAGATCGTTAAGCCAGTGTCGATTAGATCGTTTAACCCTCGCCGCTTTCTCGCCCGACGATGTCGATCGGCACGTTCGTAAATTGGTAGTGTTAGAAATATCGCAGATCCCAAATGGGATACTAGTTTTTTTGCTGCACATCTTAGTAGCTAAGTCACGCATTAAAACGAATCAGATAACATTAGAAAGGATAAAGGATGAAAGTTTTATCTACTTGCAAATTCAAAAGCGATTAAAAGAATTGATATCAAAAAATTTTGTAAAGGAAAATCATTCCTGTGTCAAATATTTTAAATATATATTATAATATTTTTATATATATTTTAAATATATATTATAATATTTTTTTGATATCATTATTAATTTGCTTAAAATTTATTTTTTTCACGGTGAATTCAAGAAATAGAAATAAGACAGATGTAAACTAGACTAAAAAGCAAAAATATAGAACAAATTATCAAAAGATTCTCTACGTATATTTACAAACTTTTATAAATTTTTGAATTTGCAATTTGAGAATTATTTTCCTCAATTATATATATATCTTAAAATTCTTATCATTCTTAAAATGAAAAATTGAAAATTTTATCGATACGATTATTTCGCGAATTTTTCAGGCGCGACAGTTTTCCGTCTCACTTTTTTTTTTACAATAATTCCGCGCGATGTAAACGGATTCGACGTCGCGAACGCGTCGCGGGTATTCTCCAGGTGCGTGCGCGCGTACCTGCGTGCCTGCGTACCACGCGTGCACCTTTTCGCTCGTTCACTGCCATTCCCGGGTAAGATTTCTCTCCCCTCCGTCTCTCGCTCGCACGTACACGCGTGCACGGGCGCGTGTACCATCGTCACGGACACGCGGCCACTCACACGTTCGCAGGCCCTCCTCATCTCTCTCTCCCTCTCGGTCCACCGCGTTCTCTAAGGCGACTTACGCCTACACGTTGTAGTTGCAGCATCCACACTTAGCCCTCCTCAGTCCAGCGCGTGCCTCCACGCGACCAACCACCACTGCTCGACCACTGCTCTCTCACTCTCGCGCGGTGGCGAATCTTAATGCACGTCCGCCTGACAAGTTCGCGCTGACAGTGCTTTTGGCAGCGTCTGCTAGATCGTGCGAGTGATGAAACGATGCACTCCAGTGTCTTGTGCATACGTGTCTTGCGTGCGAAGGAGATTAAATGAGATGTGTCGGGTGGCTGTTATGACGAATGTTATCGACGCTTTCTAACGGTATAATTGGATAAGTGTTGGTGAAACTGAATAAAAAAGCCTCGATATCTTTTTTCATAATATTCATATGCAAAACGGAGTAACGGCGTATTGGATTAGGGGATTTAAATTTGTTAGAAGCTGAGTGACAGCTGAACATTTTTCAATTTCTCCCTTTCGAACAGAGGGACATTTTTCTCCGCAAAACGAGAATTAAAATAAACGTGTTTCTGATATCGGAGTGACAGTATATCAGTTTTGCATAATTAAGCCTTAAGAGGGACACGAACGGTATTAATGTTCTCCGATAGTGCGGAATAATTTAATAAATATTCACAACTGCGTTCTTCGAAATTTTTTTCCCTCTTGGAATGCAGACATATCACGATTGCATAATTGTTAAGCTACCCAATGAATGTCGAATAAATTTAATTTGTTAGATGAGCCATCGTTAGGTAGATAAGTTGCTTTACAAAGTTCATGCGATGTGCGGAGTGACTCGCTATGTTTTGCGATAATTACGTAATTTTTCAGTGAATCAATATATTTTAAAGATGTAACATATGTTTAGCGCGTAACAATATTTTACGTATAATGAATTTCAGTAAAAATATGTTTGCTTTTTTAGACATTTAAGTCGTACGCGATGGCGTACAGTGATGCGAATGAGCAATCCTGAGACTCCTGATTTTATCGAGACGAGCAGACTGGCTAGAGAGAATTCACGTTCGATCGTTTGGAGGTTCGATCGGAACCAGTTGATAATCGAGGCGTGGATAGAGCGCGTGGTTTCGTTGACGATCGCATTCGACATCTGGTCTCATCAGGGCGACGATAAAACGTCGCGAGAGGAGAACGACGGCGGTTTATCGATTCGTCGATCGATCGGGAAACGTCGCGCTTGTTCTTCACGAAAGGTAGAACGTTGGCACGCGGATTGGAAATCGGCGAGCGTGGGTCGACATCGACGGCGCCAACCTGTTGCTCAAGATCGGACTCGTTTCCATTTAGAGGACTCCGGGTGTCCAGCCTGCGCCGCCACCGTGGGACCCGTCCTCGATTCGGCGAGCCAGGAATTAATCAACCGAATCGGCGAACATTCGAGTGCCCGATTTCTGATTAACGCCCGAGAACGTGTCTTTATCGAAGACTGCGGAGCCAGCGATTGATCCCGGCTACTTCTGATTAAAGGGACGTCCTTCTGGAAGAGCTTGTTGTCGATAGCAGGTCTTGAAGATATGTCCTCGTCTTGAAACTGAAAATTAATCAATTGGTGATTAAACACTTTCTTATCGAATAAGAACTCTTATTAAGATTATAGAATCGGCGAGAAATTCTTGAGATAAATTGTCGATTCAAGATCTGAAATTAATGAAAAACAAGCTCGTGTTCGAATCTCTGATTAATATCGAACCTACAAAAGAGGAAAACGATATTGAAATAATACGTTTTACAAAAAAATTACATCACTGAGTGAACGTCGAAAAAAGACCCTGCGATTCATATTGAAGCTCGAGACCAATGTGACGACGAGGTGAAGCGAACGTCTCAAGATGCCTAGTTACTCGCTAATTAGTTTTATGGTCCTCTGGGCCAGCTTGTCGCTGGCGAGCTTCTCGACGAAGGAGCTGCTGGAGTGTCGGGCGAACTTGACGGCGGCGATCAAAAACGACATGATGTTCCTGGGCAAGGTGCGCCAGTCGGACTATATCTTCACGGGGAAGATCAAGGAGCTGCGACAGGAGGGGCGGGTGCTGCACGCGCGCGTCAAGCGGGCCATCAAGGGCGCATTGAACGCCACCGTTGATCTCACCGTGAACGACACCTGCGGCAGCTACATCAGACGCGGCTACACCGGCATCTTCCTGGCACGTCGAGGCGGCAGCGATGCGCGACACATCGGCAAAATCGTCATGCACTTTGGTCCCGTACCGCTTACACTTGCCAATCTCGACAGGCTGAACGCTGCCGTTAAAGGTGAGTCCGTGCGAGTTTTCTATAAAAGAATGATGTAGAATAATTTTGTGCAATTTAGGAGAATTTTTTTCCAAATGATTCCTTTCTCCAAACTTTCGGAAAATTAAGTTTGCAGAATTATTTTGGGAACGTTTTTCGAGAATATAAAAATTTTTAGAAATTTCTATTTTTTACTCTTCGTATACAGTTTAGAGGAGTAAAAAAGGGGAATTTATATTCACGATGATTCTCATCTTCTTTTTGCATAATATGCAGTATTCTCTTACAAGAATCATGCGTGAGCGTGTTGACACGCAATGCATTGTACGCACGTGGGTGGATAAAACACGTCAGACGTTAGCATTCAAGGTCTACTGGACAATCGCCTCGACAAAAGCAAGAAATCTCGAAACAGTTAAAATATCTTTTTAAGTGCGAAAATTAATGTCCAGCCTATAAAATAGGCTAAAAATACGCGATATTTTAACTGTTCGATTCGCATCATTTAAATTCATAATAAATAACTACAATCGGCAATATATCTTGCAATATCTAATAATATTGCAGATATAAAAGATTATTGCTTTCCATATTTTTTTCGTTCAGTCTAGGAATTATTTATCATCGCAAAATTGCATTGAAGTTTCACGATATTTTACAATACATGTCGAAGGTTAAAATCTCGATGAAAAAGCGGCTCGCGAGAAGATTTGATTCATGCCCCGAGAATTATTAAATCGCCGTCGTTTCGCAGCCACGCATACAAGTCATGCCCCTTTTCATCGCGTTAATCGCGTTAAATAAAGCGACGCACATTACAAATAAGTTACGACTATAATTTAATTCCTTTACGATCCAGGAGGACGCTTAATTCCTCCCTCGGGGCCAATGATATCGTTCCGGTGTGATGTACCCCGTCGGTCGCCGGGATTGTTTCGTGGACTATTAAAGAAATTAATGTAGGAATTATAAGGCTGGCTTCTCGAGGCAATATCGCGTTGCCCAAAGTAACGGGGAGCCGTGATTTATTTAATAAACGGAGATTAAGTGCGGCCTCTCTCCTTTCTCTCTTTTTATCTCCGGTTGCTCGGATCCCCTCGTCTTTTTGTCCCGAGATCGGTTTACGGTCGCGCGACGATGTCAACGACGCGATACGACGACGTTGATGAATAAAAGTCCCGTGCCGGGTCCCCCGCGGCTAATCGTTTAATCTCAATAACTCACAATGCCGCCTGAACCGACAAGGCTATCGCGTCGCTTTCCTCGAGAGATGCCTGCTCCGTTTCCCGGTCATTTGCAAGTCGATCGGCTCCGTAAAGTGTCGTCGATCTTTGACGGAAGCCGTCGTATATAATTAGAAGTTTTTCCGGCGGTACCCGCGGGGCTCGATTCGAGTTAACGAGGAGTTTAGCTCGCCGTCCCGAGCGCCAAGCGTCAATCAGAGGACACGGAAGCGCCCGTGTTTTGCAATACGTAATGAAAGAGTGGAAGCCGCCGAGAAAATCGCCACTCTCGTTCGGGCAAGGCGCAAAGTGCAAGATCGATTATCCTTTCCGCGATATAATATCTGAGATATTTTCGTGGGAAATACGCGTAGAACGGGATTTTCTCTCAATTTTTCTGTCAAGGCATTTTTTATCAAATGCTTTAACAAAAAAAGAATTAATCATTATTAAAATTATCATTAAATATTTGCACAAAGAACGCGAAAACTGAGATCGATATTAATCTTGCGAGAGATGCTTGTCAACTTCCATTCTTTTCAATCTTATCATTCGATCGGTTGATCGATTGGATTTTCTGAAATCGACGATTCGTTATCTGCTGAATCGCGAAGCCACAATGGCGATGAAAATTTACATGCCACTATTCGCACGCAAATTTCACCCGTGGGAGGAATTATGATACCCTCGAGCACACGTGCGCGCTTCTTCATGCTATCAATCTCTTCCTGGTACGTAATTTTCGCAAAAGTCCCGCGTTACGTACCAAAAGAGATAACGCTGCTCTCGATTAAGTTGCAGGCCTCCTCTTATCAGCGAGATAGCGTACTTCTGGCGATAGCTCGAAGCTGCCGCTTGTCATTGCGGTTTGCCACTCGCAGATTGCAACATCGCGAATGGAGAAACTTGTATTCTGCAGATAGACTAAATTTAAGTAGCTGCAGATATTGTTCTCAACATACATTAATTCTCTCTTTTTTAGAATCTTGATTAAAAAAATTAAAAAAAAAATTAAAAAATCGTATCTATATTTGCGAGTCTTTTAGCTTTTCGCGCACAAAAGTACCTTCAATTTATGGGAAGAGCAGGTATCGCGCGCGCGTCCACCTTCGCGGTACCGAATACCGTAATTATGGCACGGCCGGCGAAGCTGCACCTGGTCGCCCACGTTCGCGTTGTACGGCGTCTCACTTGACGCCCGTTCCCGTCGTGGCGGCAGGACGCGGCGTTTTCTCCGCGCCGCGGATCCCGAGATCCGATTCAGGCTTCCCGCACGAGTCGAGTCGCCTCTCTCAGGGGGATAAGCATAATACGGCGTCGGCCCACGCGTCCTGCCAGTCTGCGCAGCCAACACAGGCACGCCCAGTCACATAACTGCCCAGGTGTGCCGGATTTCGAGGACCTCTCTCTCCCCGTCATCCTGCCAAAGATAGACGAATTAAAAGCTATTGACGAGAGAAGTCACCTTGCGAAACCGTCTCATAACTCGCTTGATTATATAAATGTGCTGCATGAATGCTAATTAAAAGTCCTCCGGTTGACACTCTGGATCGATCACCGCAATCATATTGCATTGTGAGAAATTACATGTAATTTTTTTCTTACATAGAATTTAAATGTGTCGAGCTCTAAAGAATATTATCAATGCAAAATAGATGCGATGAATTAATGGCAGAAAAATCTTAGAATATACAATACATACCAGAAGGATCATATTCGATCTATTAAACGAAACGCATAGAGACCTTGCGCGTAGATTTAGATTCGTCTGTGCGGGGAGTATCCCAAGGAAGGGGAGGCTGGAGGGAGAGAAGTCCCATTAATTTTTCATTGTACGTGCCACGTGTCCGGAAAAAAGTCGATAATAGATCTCCGATTGAGCCCATTGCGCGACCATTGTTACGATCCGATGCGGCGCGGTCGGCACCGATTTCAAAACAGTAATTATCCTCGCCCACGCGCCGACTAGGATGAAATGAGCCGCGTGCCTCGCGATCACGATCGTCACGATCCTCGCGATCAATGATATCTCGGGCCGTAGTGGATCGCGTAATGGACCGAGGAAACTAGTCGGAAGTATAACGGTGGCTGGGAATCGTTCGTCAGGGTCGTGCGTTCCCTCGAATCGCATACGTCGGTCGGTGCAGCGTGAAATTAACGATACTTATGCTTCATTAATTAGCGTCGCGCATAATTCATGAACGGTCGATCGTGTGCGTTCTCGACCGTGCCTCGCGGTAGGATAGCTATAGATCCGCTCGATTACAGACCTTTTCGACCTTCCCTACTATTTTACCGATCTCGAATTCTCGTTGTTCATTTTTTTCGCGCCGTCAAATTAATAACAGCCCATTATCGCGGGGCGCCGTTATCTTTTGATAAATTTTTCACTGTACGGCGCATGTCGCATTCTCCGCGGAGTATTATCGGTGTCTCCGGGGAAACAGTAAATGAAAAGCAGAAGGAGACATGAAAGAGATCGATAAGTCACGCTTCATTAATTTCCCTGGCGTTATAATTTGTAGTCAATGGCGAGTGCGTTTTTAAGATATTATAGTTGGAACACGTACGGAGCAGTTACCGATCGTAATTTTAGCACGTTTTAGCCATTAATAATTCATCAGCGTATTCCGATTACGGGTGAAATTAAAAAAAAAGTGGCAGAGCGCGTAGATCAGGTTAAGTGGAAACCGGCCGAGACGTTTTGTATAGCGCCGCGACGAATAAAAATCGATACACGGCGACGTTCTAATTTAGCGCGAATTATTAGACAGTGGCCCGACAAAAGACAGACCCCGATGGTTTCGCGAGCTAATTTATCGTCGAGTCAACAATACCGACGGTTATAATTAGTCGCGTGTCGAAGCGCCCGGTATAGTTATCGACCATAATTTCAGTCATTAATAATTCATTCGGCAAGACGCCATTCGGTGGCCAATAACGCGAGAAGCTGCGCTCAGCTGTAGCTCAGCATGCGTGATGAAATTGGATAAAAACGAGATGATACCCCTCTTCTAAACAGAATCGGGGCGAATGAAAATCAGCCTGCGGATTGACATTCCAATTTAGCGCAAATAATGAGATAGTGATTTGTGCGTTGTAAAACGTGAGCAGCCACTGGTGATTATGTAAATGAATTGCCTTTGATTTATTCGTAAGATATTCATTAATTATTTCCATCAAACTCTCATACACGTAACGACATCTCCTCGAAGCTGACTGTATAACGGTAATTTTATGTAAAAAAAATGTCCAATGCATGTACGATATTAAATTCCGAGAGGAATGTCTGAAATTCTGATTTCTATTTGCTCGTGTAATCTTTACGATTGATGTAAGAGCTTTCGTCCAATCAGGCTGTTGAATATCATACATTCATGTTCGCCTACGTATAACTATCAGTTTCTACGTTTCACTTCTCGCGGTTTTCTTCAGACACGAATCGCAAATGTTCTAGAACATAAGGCGTTACTATCTCTGATTTAATCGTGACGCGAGAATATACAACGTGCGCCACGCGTCTCATTTATTCTTACGAACCCCGCTCTGAATTGCTTTAACATATTTAAGCCTGTACATTTTATACGGATTGATTGCCATAAAGAATTTAACGATAAATTATTGTGAAAACACGATGCAATTTCGTATTCTTTTTCGACGGGCAAAAGGCATATTAAACTATTTTTCTATTGCATTAAAATCATCAAAATTCATCAATTTTAAGGAAATTTATAATTTCTCTCAAATTTTAACGAGAAAGTATTTGGGAAAATCAATTTCCCAAAATATTAATAAATG